CTGATATCTTAGATCTAGGATTGTCAAAAAAGGATGATGATGACTCAAAAAGTGAGATTTTTGGAGTTATTCCTTATGTAACACCAGAGATTTTATTAGGTCGGTAGTAGAGGTCCGAACCGGATGCAAATTTATCACCCGGGTCACCTGTGTAACTTTGAAATCGGGTACCCGGGTGAAAATGGGTTATATAATATAGTACAAAGTGGAAAATGCAGCATGACGGAAGTTCTATTTTATTGGCTATCACACCTGATAATGTTCATTAGATGTGATTGGCCAAGCAAAATTATTACACAAATTCATATATAGGAAGAAAGATGTGTCATATGGTAGCACATAAAGGAAACATCAGTTTTTGTCAAAACTTTGCCAATTCATTCTTCAGTTGTTTCGTGAGTGAAGCGTGAAGACATATTTCCCTGATCCGGGCTGATCCAGTAACCTTTTCTTGATGCAAATTTTTTATAATGAATGGTAATATGTATATAAATATATGTTTAAAGCCAATTAATATCATTTTTAGCACTCGAAAATATCAAAATCAGTCAAGTTAAGTTTTGTTCTTGAAGAGTTTTATTTATTATTTCAATAATATTGATACTAGTACTTATGTCTTGCGTATTAATTTAATTTTATAGAAGTTAAATCGTTGAGTAGATAGACATAAATCGTGATTTAGGTTGGCAGCTGATAATATGAGTTGTATTATTTAATTAATAATATAGATTAAATGCAGCAATGCGTCTCTGGCGAAGATAGTAATGACTGAAAAACACAGTATAATTACTATTTAAAAATATAATAAGTAAAGAGTCTTCACTGATAATAAATAATTTATTTCGCGTATTGAATTTTCTTTAAAAATTACGATATTTGATTGGTTAATATTCACGTGTTGATCGAATATCCTTCACTGGCCAATCACGATCTAATAAATCAGATCAGCTGATCGCATATTTGCAGCCAATAAAATAGAACTTCTGTCATGCTGGAAAATGTGAGCATGACGGAAGTTCTATTTGATTTGCCAAAAATATGTGACTTGCCGATCATAATTATTAGATTGTGATTGGCCAGTATAAGTTCTATAAATTTCTACAAGATTTGATATTAAGCTTCATCACGAATTTCATCACGAAAAAGTTTGTTGCTTGCTGGTTCAAAGTTTTGCAGTAGTAAATATTCTGTGATTAAAGCTTGCGGTTATCAAGTTTGTCTTATCAAGTTTCGTCTGGAACAAGTCTTTGGCTAAGTTTTGCAGTGGTCTTGCAGTGGTCTTGCCGTGGGCAGTAGTCTTGCTGTGATTAAGCACTGTGGTTAGGTTTTGTCGTGGGTAGGCTTTCTCTGAAGTACTATTATTTGAATTTTACTATCTTGTGGTTAAGTTTTCTGTATTCAAAAGGTTTCATTTTGGTAGAGTTCTGTCGTGTTCAAGCCTTGCTGTAACCAAGTTTGGCTGGCTAAGTCTTACCTTATAAGTTTCGCTGTGATCAAACTTTGCCGAGATAGGCTTTACTTTTTTCAAGGGGTGAAAATTTGATTATTTGTAATATTTGTAATTGGCTATTTTTTTTACTAATTTTTTTTTTTAAAAATAAAAAAATTAGAAAAAGGTTATTAATTATGACGACCAAAAATTTTGGTCCTTGTTCAGTTGTTGATTGTATAAATATCAACGTTAAGTTTCGTACAATCACGGAGCTTGCGTATGAGAAATGCTGTAGGAAACGAATGCTGGAAGCGTATCCTTACCTTGAAATTGGGAAGCAACTTTGTCATCCACATTACTGTAATATTGTGAAACCAGATAGAAAACATAAATCTAAAAAAATCCGTATACAAAAAAAAGAAGTGTTACAGCCAGTAGACCTTATATTAAATTATAATATAGTTACTATATATTTATTTTATTGTTTTTTATTATATTCTATATTTATTTATTTATGTTTTTATTTATTTATTTAA